AAATCTATAGATATAAAACAGTTCAAGCATATCACAATGTTAGTTTAAATGTTTAAACGATATAAATGTGCGCTATTAGGTGCATATCTAATCGTTTGTGTGAAGAGTGGAAGCTGAAGGCACTTTGCAGCACATGGAGGCGCCAGCGCGATCACTCACTTGCATTTTTTTCTTGATAGTGGAAACAACTTAAAATACGCCGTAATTTTTGCTCATAAAGGTAAGAGTAATACATTCGGAAATGTAAAGGGTCTACTTTTATGTGTGCATTCACAATATCAACAAACGTTGTGCTTTTATAAAATAAATAGGAAAACAGAGGATGCGCTTGCCGTCTTGTCTTGAACAGGAGCGCTTCACAATGATGAACCGAAACTCAACGAATTGAGTCACAGATATGATAAATATATATGATAAATAGATCTATAGATAGCTTTAAATTACTACTTTAAAACGAAATAATTCAAATCGAAAACAAAAACTCTTTCATTATGTTATCCGTTAAGATGCATTTCTCTCTAAAGGCACGTCCAACGAGGAGATGGCGAGTCATTTTTTCCATCACCATCTAAACTATAAAAATAAGGAAAAGCCTTAAACAGGCCCGATTATATTTTTTCGGATTTTTATGTTGCTCTGCTCTAAATACCTTAAAATTTAAAGGATTTGCTGCAACGCAATTTTGTCTGATATGTGAATTATTTATTATATTTATTTAGATACTGATTTTAGTTGATCTAAATTAAGTAGGTTAGGCACAAATTTGCTTATATGGGTTCCCTTCTAGACATGAGCGCTGTGTGTTTGTATGTGCTTCATAACCGTGCACCCCAGGGGGTCCGTCGTAATAGCCTGCACTGGGGCCCGTCATTACTAAGTTATGCCACTGCTTGTGAATGAGAATCGAATCGTGAAATTTGTCAAAACCCAGCCCTATAATACACATTTTAAAATTGTATTGCATACCTGCTGCTGCCATAATAAAGACCCATTTCGAATGTTTACGTGCTTTTCTTCTTTTTCTGCTCCCAGTCGCTGGGGTGGAGCAGTTATGAAGTATTGTTCTTTTAAATACTTTCCAGCATTTCAGAAATAAATATTTATGCAAATTACACTGAAGTACAACAACGTTACCTTACAGTGTTCAGGAGTGCTCAAAAAGGGTTTAAACACGAGTTTACGAGAAGAAATCGATTCAAAACTCAGAGATGTGGATTCGGACGGCAATTAAATCACCACACGACCTTGGTGTGTCAAAAAACAGTAGGTAATTTGGCCGGGGATTTTTACGAGGGCGGTGAGAGAAAAACACAGACATCCTGGATTCGGGCGGCATTAAAATCACCAACTACCCCCTGTAAACGGTGAAAATCACTTACGTCCCCCTGAGAAACAATTACCGTCTGAATAGGGCTATTCAATTCTTTCCAGTGACTGAACTCGTGTTTAAAGCCCTATAGACCAATTTGGAGTAGACTTCACTTGCAGCTGCGCGCTCATTGTGGTGGCATAAAAACGCTGGGAACAAGTGGAGGGAAATGGGTAAAATCCATGGAATAAGAGGAAAAAATGTATTGTTGTGCCTTTGAATGTCAGAATCGGAATGCAAATCATGTTTTATATAATACTGTCGTCAAGGCGCCATTTGAAGCTAAACGCAAACGTTTAAACGGACAGACTATGGATGAAACCTGCTATGATTACCCTACTTTTAAAGCATAAATTTGATTTAAACAATAGGTCTGTAATATTCATATAGGGGACATATTGCATTAGCCCTACAGTTGAAATACATGCATGAAATACTTTTTAAACCTATAACATTTTACATAACATTTAACTAATTTATTTCACAATTCTGACTTTTTTTTCTTGCAAATTCAAGTTTATATTTCCTAGTTCAGACTTGATTAACTTGATTCAACTCAACAATTGCGAGTTTGTCAATTCTGAGGAAAAAAAGCCAGAAGTGTGGGATTATAAACTAAAAAGAAAGAATGACGAGTTGATTTTTCTTACCAGAATTGTGAGATATAATCTCGGAATTGCAAGAAAAAAGTCAGAATTTTGAAATATAAACTCAATTAAATTTTTTATTCTTTTATTCCATGGCTTGAATAGACTGCTACGTTAAGACTGTAATTTTCTGCCACCAGACAGGCTCCGCCCACAAAAACCGTCATCGCTGTTTGCAAACACTGAAATTGGTCTATTCGGACGGGACTAGTTTTCCAAACGACGTTTGAGTTACAATTCTTATCAGCCGACGTCTGTGATTTCATGTACGGATTCGCACGAGACTAACATCTGTGCTTATTACCGAGATAGGAGTGTCTAGGTGCGTCCCAAATCGCGTACTTACGCACTATTCTATGACGTTTTTTTCATATAAATAGTGCGAGTAGTGCATTCACACTGAAAATTCCAAAAAGAAAAAGTGCACTTTAAATGCCCGGATGATGCACTTAAATAACCGAAAAACGAAGTGTGGAATGTTGGACACTTCATGCACTCAATTGTTGCAGCTTTAATTACGTAGCTAAGGGGGAGGGGCTATCAGATTCCAATTATGAATGACAAAAGATACGTCTCAATCAGCTCCCTTGTTCAGTAGTAAGGGCACTGATCAGGGAGTCGGCCATTTTAAGGGCTGTCTCAATTGCAAAATCCTTCCAGTGCACTGGAACGTTCGCTCCCTGAAAAATCCCACAATGCACCGCAAAAACTAGGGAGCATCAGAACGTCACGTTTCTGAAGCGCGAAACATAAACCGCACGAGCCAACTCGATAAATATAATGAAGGCCGATAGAAGATTTGAAAAGGCAAACCGTAATAAACACACATCTCTAGACATGAATTGAACATCTAATTAACATTTATAATTAATATTCGGCTGAAATGTTGTAAGAACATGTAACAGAACGATGTGTTTAAGCTAGCTAGCTGCGTAACAAGAACATGACCAATTTAAGTTTATAGGACAACTAAACTATCAATTTAAACAAAAATTGACCGTCAACTACAGACGTTGCATCCATCGATTCCGCCATTTTTCTCATTGACACACCCCCAACTCGGAAACTCGAGGCTTAGAAAATTTCAAGTTACCCACTCGTAATAACGACTTTGTGGTGGCGTTCATGTGTGTTCAACTCGTAAATACGATCTATCCGACATGACTTGAACACACCATGAGATGCACCAAAAATAACCTTATATAATTCATGCACTACATGGTTGAGTACATAGTGCATAAGTACATAGGCTGTGTCCGAAATCGCCCTATACCCTCATTCACTATTCCCTACATTAGGTCACTAATTCAGTTCACTAGAAGGAGTGAATGAAAATTGATTGCGTCATGACGGCGCGATGAAGACCGTCCCAATTCAAACACCGCATCCTATGAAGGCTGCATTTGAAGGCCGATTGCGTCACCGCGGCACGACGAAGGCTGCCGCAATTCGAACGTGACTTCAAATGCGTCCTCTGTTTCTCTGGCAAATGAAGGATACATGAGATGGATCCTTCGCAGCCTACCCTATCCCAGAATTCATAGCGTGCCGGTGACGACGGGACTTTTATTCAAACAAAATAGCGGTGATGGTTCTGTGGCTGCCAACGGATACACTTATAAATGTAAGTATCTGCTGGCGCAATCAGGAAATCCTGCGAAGGCTAGACTCGGAGCGTCCTTCGAAGGACGCGGTCTTTGAATTGGTTTTAACTTAAATAATTTACACGTTATGTAATTGAGTGCAGAACTTACAGTAATCTCGCCTGAAACTGATATTACTGTAGCCAGTCTTAACAGTTTACGTGATTTGGCTCTTCTTGTCGATTTCATTTTTTATTTCTTCGAAATGTACCAAACACATCTATCCATTACTGGTGCGCAGAAAGCAGAAACTTGAATACCGGCGCGCTAGCGAGAGATTGTACTGTAGTAGTACACACAAGAAAAAGCGTTTTGTTAAACACGATGCAGGGAGCGAAATTAAGACTTACCGTCTCTGTTGCTCATGCGCCTTACTCGCACAAAATCACCGTCAGTAATGTCACTAGGTAAGGATAAGCACAGTTTTATATACAATTCAACAAAAAAATTTGATTGAAAGCACACACCTTTTTTTCTCAGCCGAATCACAGACGCAGGAGGGCGGCGCAGCCTTATGACGTCATAACGCCACACCAAAATAAAAGTCTTGTCTACGCCCCAAAATAATATAATTTTACATTAGAAAACAAATATGTGACCCTGGACCACAAAACCAGTCATAAGTAGCACGGGACATATTTGTAGCAATAGCTGTAAATAGTGTATTTAAGCAACAGTATAATTACATTTAACCACAATATTTAAATGTAAACTTTTACATTTAAATTAATGTAAGTTGGTATAGTGCTAGCGTTCTCCTGCAATGCATCTTCTATATACCGATAGTGTTTTTACATAATACAATAAAATAGCAAATGAGTTTGACAGCCGATGTTGACCATGGTTTCTTCATAAGCAGTACGGCCTACCTGCTTTGACATTGATCAAATCAGGCAAAAGTCTTGTGTAAGGTACCAGAGCTTACTTATCTAGAAATGCATCTAATAATGTGTAGTTTCTAAAGGTGTATTAAAAATATTCAGTCTTTTGGCTGATGATTGATTGGAGTCTCTTAACTGTACCCTCAATTTAAAGACGTACTCAAGAGACAAACTCACATTTGGGATCATTATAAACATTTATCGCAAATTAAATTTACATGGTGTGTGCATGTGACCAAAGATAGCCTAGATACAGCATGATCATCGCTGTAACAATCCACGTTTACTGACCAACCAATAAAAATGCAACATGGCGCTAAAACATAAAACTGCTTTCCTCAGACATATAAATATAGACTTGTAAAATCAACAGTCATTCAAAAACACACTGCACACCACTTTTACCTCATAATCACTGGGCACCTCCAAATTTTGCTTGTCCCTGTTTTAAAGTATTAGTACAAATTAATGCTTGTAATTATTTATATACATATATTAATCCAAAAAAACAAACAAAACTGAAAGCAGAATTTCTAAGACTGTGTTCAAATTAAAAGAGATGCATTTGGAAAAGATTTCCATTTCAAGCATGTAATAAAAATTAGTAAGTCTTCTGCTTCTTACCCAAAGAGGCGAAAGGAAAGTTCTTACACATTATTCTTCATCCCAATGACAACGATAGAACTCGTTGGCTTCCTCTGGCGTGTCAAAGTAGTATGTTTTCCCTTCGTAAGTAACGTGGAGCCTTGCGGGGTGCAACAGACCGAATCTGACTCCCTTCCCATAGAGCCGGGGCTTCACTTCTTTAAACGCCGCTCGCTTTTTTTCCCAGGTCACTGTCCACCACTCTCATATCAGTCTCAGCCTCGGACGTCACGCCCACGGAACGCTGGCTGAACGTCTGATGCATATGGCACACAAAACTGGAAACACTTCAGGAGTTTTGAAGTCATCATCGGATTGGTTGAATTATACGGGATTTTGCAGATTTGAACGCAGATCTTTTCAGCTGCGCTGACGGCACGCATGCTGCTGCTGGCGGGACACTAAACACCGTCAAGCCGCTCGTGACAGTTGCGGTAGCACGGTCTCGTGTTGTTTCCACCAGCGTAGCAATTTTTTCATCACTAATTGATGGATTTCTAAAATATAAAAATAAGGAGAAGCCTAAAACAGGCCCGAGGCCCGGCCCGCGTCTGAACTATGACGTGAAAATTGGCCCAAAGCCCAGCCCGAGGGACGTAAAAAAGTTGGGGCTCTAGTTCAGCTCAGAATCAGAAATAAGTTTCTCAGTTATGAGGAGAATAAGAAACTGGCTCTGATCTAGCACACATAGAACGATTTGACTAAAAATTTATCAGAAGAGATGAAAGAAAGATAGTGGTCATCTATACAATTCAGAAAAAGAGGCGGCTTTTCTGCATTGTTTTTTTTTCTCTTTGCACAGCAGTTATTGTTCATTCTAAATGTATTTTTAATGTAGAATATGTGTTATATAAATACATGAAATGTAAAACATATAAAAAAAAGTGCTCGTGGCTCGTCTGCCAGTGGGTGCTTTCATGGGGCTTAACAATAACACAGAATAGTATATGCACAATATCGGATTTGGATTGGTCTCGTCTGACCGTTACCCCGATCCAGCAGAAAGTGGCAGTATCGGAGCGATACCGATACTGAATATCGGATCGGCGCACCCCTATCCTAGACCAAGCATTCAAATTTCTCCTGGACCACACCAAATAGATGGACATTCATCAAAAGCTACCACAAAAGCTATTCAGCAAGAATATTCGCAAACATGCATATCATTGTTGTACAACGTGCAAAATATTAAGAAGTGGATCAACTTGTGTCACAAAACTCAGTGGCATATTTGAATTCAAACAAAACAAAATGGACCTCTCACAGCATCAAATTCTGTGTTGAAGAAGACCTTTATTGGACCACTATTCGACTTGAACCACACTGATGCACTCAGGGCATCTAATGGCGCTTTTCCACCGCGTGGTATGACTCGGCTCGGCACGGTTTGCATTTCCACTGCAGTTCAGTACCGCTTTAGAGTGGGCGGGATTATTCACATGTCATTAGAGTTTACACGTCACGTTTTGGAAACGGTATGGTTCACTTGGAACCTCAACCGAGGTGGTACTAAAAAAAGTACCAGGTACCAGGTACTGTACCCAGTGGAAAACCCCCAAAAAGTGAACCGTACCGAGCCGTACCATGCAGTGGAAAAGCGCCATTAGAGATGTTCCTAGGCCTCAATACTTTAATGATAACAGTCACACAAAACATGCAAGTTATACAAATTCAAAGAACATCACCGAAACACAAAAGCGATGAGGAAAGTCTTCAAATTAAAGATAAAAATGAATAGCCAAAAGAACATGCCACTGCGGTTGTTTCAAACCCCCAAAAAAGACCTGGAACAAAAACATAACAGTCATGCAAGCAAAATGAGACAAAACCCCCAAAACTTCTGAGCTATAAACAAAAAGCTATAAACTCTAATATTGAGCTTGTATAGCTTAATAGATATTGTGTTTGTTTGTTTTTTCTCACTTGATTTCCAGTGTTAAATGGTGTTCAGTTTTGTAAGTGTGCCAGATTCTGTATAAATAAAGTTGATGTTTGTTTTTGTTTTGTTTGAATAATATCTTCTAAATAAAAAAGTTATTATGAAAGCTTTCTCTTTTTACTGTAGGTTCCATAACAATAGCTGCAATTTCTCGACTCAGAAGACAGACATTCCTGTATTTGGAATTGCGTGGAATACGGTGTGCAATCAAAAAAGGTAAAAGCCTAAATAAGCTGGCTGATCCTGAAATGTGTGAATTTTGTAAACATTTTCTCAAGACAGCAGGGATGGTTTGTTCAATCTATCATTTTTACCTATGGCAAATTGACGCTATTCAGCATTTATTTCCTCTATAGTCCTGTGCTTTTCTCTGTGTGCCATACATTAAACTAATTTGACTACTATATGTATTACACCTTCTAATAAGTTGTGCATGATGTCTAGTGGCAGTAACTTGGTTCATCAAATGGACAGATTCTCTCAACACCATATACTGCAGTGTGGGCAAGGTTTTCCTCAATAGAATCTAAGTGATACTTTAGAAGAGTTTGAGAATGAACTGATCTTCACTGAAAAACTCATTCTTATTTGAGCGAGCTGCCATACAGTATCTACAGATTTGTCTAGAGTTAATGGACATGCTAAATCCACACTGTAAACCCCGATAAGTTAAGATCATTTCACGCCGTCACCTACTGCCGTTTTAATTTCGTTTTCTTATTTGTAATTCAAAAAAAATATTTAAAACAATCTCATAACGTCATCATTTAATGCAGTTGTATTATTTTCAGTGTAGGCTAAATTATTTAATTTGATAGCTATAGCCTAACAACAACAACCATATTATTGTAATTGAGTTTATAGATTAAAGAATTTGAAATGAAAGATGAAGTTAGTGGGAAAATGCCCTCTATAAAGGTAAAATGCCCTTGGATGGATTAAATATACAAAACATACAGATTTATATGTCACAGATGATAGAAAACTGAGAAAAGCATTGCTTCAGAATAAATCATATTTGAAAAAATAAATAAAATAATATATTTTGGGGGCAAATAATTTTTTATAGTTTAATCTTCTTAATAAAAAAAGACTGTTCTACTCTTAATATTTTGTATTTATATTCTCTCCTTTAATAGTAATATCCTTCCTTTATTTGATGCTTACACAAAGGAGATGGCACAGGCCTACAGAAAGAGTTTATTGTCATCAGATGTAGCTTTGCACACTGCCAGCATCTAGAATGATTTTGATCAACATTGTAGTGTTCATAGCAGAAGACTTTCTTATTTTACAGTTTATCAATTGATGAGATTTTGCAGGCTTTGCATACACATTAAAAGCTCGACACCATAGAGCCCCCCCACATGACAAATCCCAATTTAACCTCCTGCTCATAACCGCACATTAAAGGGTTAGTTCACCCAAAAATGGAAATTAGCTTGTGTTTTACTCACCCTCGAAGCATCCTAGGTGTATATGACTTCTTTCAGACAAATCCAGTCAGAGTTATATTAAAAATTGTCCTGGCTATTCCAAGCTCTATCATTGCAGTCAGCGGGTGTTGCAGTTGAATAGTCCACAAGTTGTCAAATAAAGAGCGCGCATCCATAATAAAACGTGCCACAGACGGCTCCGGGGGATGAATAAAGGCCCCCTGTAGCGAATCCATGAGTTTTTGTAAGAAAATATCCATATTTCAAACGTAATAAACACTTTTCTCTCACTTCCGCTGACTGTCATCCACTGAAGCCGTTCCGGCGGATGACATAAGACGCGCGGCGTTGCGTGATTAGTGACGAATGCGGAGAGAGAACAAAACAAAACGCCGGTCACGAATTAGAAGCACAAACCAAAGATTTGCAAAGAAAAATGTCGGAGGATTTCGATATATATATCACTTGAGCAAAGTTTCTACTTTTTTTTGTTTATTTTGAAAATAATTAATTTTTGTTCAATAAATATGCTGTCATTAAAATAAGTTCATTTTAAACAAATATACAAAAAGTTATTTTAACATACAGTGGGTACGGAAAGTATTCAGAACCCCTTAAATTTTTCACTCTTTGTTATATTGCAGCCATTTGCTAAAATCATTTAAGTTAATTTTTTTTCCTCTGCTGTGTGTACATTAATGAGGAAAAAAATTAACTTAAATGATTTTAGCAAATGGCTGCAATATAACAAAGAGTGAAAAATTTAAGGGGGTCTGAATACTTTCCGTACCCACTGTATATACATTGTATAAATTGCAGTTTATTTGTTTCAAATGAACTTTTTAAGTTGTAACAACTTGCATTTTCTGAGTTTAATTCAACTTAACATTTTAAGGCACATTTGAACACTTCCCTTTGTTTTTATTAAAGCACACATGGCAAGTGTAAAAGGATTGCCTCTGCGTTGTGTTGTGTAGAAACTGCAATGGACGCCAGTCTCGTGTTTGTGTAGACATTTATTCTGTCGACAACACATTCAACAGTGGTGATCAGTTTCGGCAATCACACGTGCATGTTCTATAATGAAGGTGAACATCAAACTTGATTTTACCACACATGTAACAGTGGCATGAACACAAATTATACAATATTCTTCTAAACACATGTCAATATTACGCCATTCACTCTCTCAGCTGGCGTGAATCTAAATGACCCTACTGTAACCAGTTCATTAAACATCAAGATCTGGGCGGAGTGTGCAGGTAGAGTGTGATTAAAGGGCCATACACAAAAATAAGTATAGCAAGTGGAAGCACATTTTTGACCGCGCTGAGCACGACGTCCATCTCTGGCTCAGCACAGAAGTAGTTAATCACACGACACACTGAACAATAATCACACCGGTGTGATCGTACACGTTACAGAGCTACTTTACGTTCGAAACTCTGATCACATGTAAAACGGCTTCTCTTCAGTGTGAATCTTCATGTGTTTGTTAAGGTTTCCTTTTTCAGTGAAACTCTTTCCACATTGTTGGCAGGTGAAAGGTTTCTCTCTGGTATGAATCCTCATGTGGCCTTCAAGTCTATATTTATGTGTAAAACTCCTTGGACATTGAGAACATATGAAAGGTTTCTCTCCACTGTGAATGTTCATGTGGTATTTAAGGCTTGCTTTTCGAATGAAGCTCTTTCCACACAGTTTGCAGGTGAAAGGCTTCTCTCCAGTGTGAACTCTCATGTGGTCAACGAGGTGTCGTTTATCTGTAAAACTCTTTTCACATTGAGAGCATGCGTAAGGCTTCTCTCCAGTATGAATTAGTGTGTGTTTTTTAAGATATGCTTTTTGAGTGAAACTCTTCCCACACTGTTGGCAGGAGAAAGGTTTCTCTCCAGTGTGAATTCTCATGTGAAGATTAAGGTTCCCTTTTTCAGTGAAACTCTTACCACATTGTTGACAGACAAATGGTTTCTTTCCAGTGTGAACTCTCATGTGGTAATTAAGGTTTGATTTTCGAATGAAACTCTTTCCACACTGTTGGCAGGTGAAAGGTTTCTCTCCAGTGTGAGTTCTTATGTGGACTTCAAGGAATCCCTTTCTGGTGAAACTTTTCCCGCACTGTTGGCAGGTGAAATAACTTCTATTTGCTGTCTTTTGAGCTCTTTTTTCTGATTTCTCATGCTGAACACTGAGTTCTTGACTCTCCTCTTTCAGTGTTGTCGGGTCTAATGAAAAAAAGACAAATCCAAATTAACACCATTTATAATGGCACAAAGAACAAACATCAAAACCAACAACGTGTAGATCTTATACGCACCCTAAGCTATTAAAGGAGGTGTTAAATGTGATCTCAAAACCTCTTCCCATTATTCGAAGTGATGGTGATAATAAAAAAGAGCAATTGTATAGTTGCGTATGTTTAAATGCTGATTTTCGAGGTAATGGGTCATATGATCTCAACATGTCTGTCCACATGAGGCAACCCACTCCATGTCAAATAAAACTACTGTAATTACAAAACTCATATGACATTCTTCTAAAATATCATTCCTTTCTGTAGAGCTGGACATTTTAATAAGGATCAAATGAGTGAGTTCAGCTTTGAGAATGAAAACCAACCTGTTTGTTCCTCAGTATCTTCATGTTTGACTCTGAATGTTTCTTCAGTCGTCATGTCTTCACTCTCCTCTTTAATAAACGCCATCTTTATAATAGTGTCACGTGGATCTGTTAGAGATGAATCAAAGATTCCTCAAGTTATCAATAACACAGATCTTCTGGCTTATAAAAGCAAGTGTGAAATGCTCTAAATTCACTAGAGCATTTGTGATATTTCCAGTTAAGAATGAAGTCAAGTATCTTTATATAAACTCTTTCTTTTTTTCATAAGAAAGAAATATGGTTCACCGATTTAAAGCTGTACATGTTCGGTTTCATCAACCAGCAAAACATACTCAGGTGTTGCTCCTCATCTAACATTGTTAGGAATGAATGATGTTCAGTTTCTAAATATAAGATGCATTAACCAGTTTATAAGAAACACATAAACTGTAGAAGTATATCCTTCACAGGGTATTAAAAAGTACACATAAATTAGATTATATAAGTGAAGTTATAGTTTTGAGACAAAATACCTGTAATAAACAGTTACGGCTGTAGGAAACTCAGAAGTGAAGATCAGAGACTGAGTGACTCTTCATCAGGTTCTTGATTGAGATGGTACTGTGTCACGCTGCAGTCATCAAGACTGACTAAAACACTGAATCACTATAGTTTTATACTGATTTCAGGAGGCTGTCATCAGAAGATTAAGGATGCAAAGGATGTGAGCAGTTACAGGAATTTACCCAGATTTTCAGCAACTCTAATCCAATCAGCATAACTATAACACTCATTATCACAGAGATCAGGGAAGGTCACACCTACAGACATCACATTCACACTTAACCCAGGTACTGATTAGCATGAACAATGACCATCAATTAAAGTAATGGAGCAGAAGCAGCAAGAGGCAATCAAGACAAAAGGTGACAGACTCGCCTACCATGATTTTACATCTGCATTCACACACACCTAAAACAAGAGATTCCTTTTAATATTTAAATGCCATTTATCTTTCTGCTGACTTTCTAGTGCTGAGTTCACACTGCACGATTTTCAAAGTCGTCGGATCTCCGTTGTTTTCACACTGCACGACTCTCTGGGGTAGCATTCACATTGCACGATGGATCAGCAGCCGGACGTTACACACTGCATGACTTTACAATAGGAAGAATCGCAGACAGCTCTGTCTGGTCCGTAAACTATGTTTCATATAACTCCTCCCTGAACGTCCCGCTGCCCTGTATCTTGCTCTCTCATTGGCTGTAGGTCATTGCCGATGTAGTTTTCAGTCAGAACTCATTTCACACAGCAGGATTTTGAATCACTGACAGGTCCAGATATTTAGCATGCCAAATATTTCACGGGCATCGGCGATGCTTTCAGATCGCGTCTTTAATAATAATTCACTCTGTGTGATAGTCACTGGCGTGAACGAGCACCGATTTGCATTTGTCGGCGGTTTTGCAAAACCTGCCGGCGAGTGAAAATCTGGCCTAAATCGTGCAGTGTGAACTCGGCTTTAGGCTAAGATTGAATTTTGACCAAAATAATTGTCTTAATTGATGTGCATTTGTAAGAAAGTAAAACACTTATTATTAGTACGCATTTTGTATAATACAAATATAAATGAATGATTAAATAATCACTGCATGAAGAGGGTCATCTATCTGCCCATGGTAAACTCCCATGCAATTTCAGGATTGATGGATGTATGTGGAAAAATCCTGAGCCAGATTACACAGAAAAGTACATTTCCAGAAATACCCGGATACTTGGGGTACACGGACATATACAGGAATCTGAAATTTCACGGACATAAACAGCTGTAACACTGCTGGTTGTCAATGTTGCCAAGTCCCTGGTTTTCCCGTGGAATTGGGCTACTTTAACGCTGTTGCCGCAGGTTGTTTATCAAGTCCGCGGGTTGAAGCGACCCCGAAAACGTAATATCGAGTCCCTGAAATGAGAATTTGAACGGGAACCCCGCAAAAAAATGTGTATTTACTAGGGGTGCTCCGATTAATCAGCTACCGATACTATCGGCCGATAATCACGTTGGGATGACTGATCGGCGGTCTCTAAAAAGGCCGATCTCAAGCTGATGGCGTACGCGCCTGCCGTGAGAGGTTTGGCACGACATGCAGCGGCGCCGTCTCAGTCTCTGTCTGGCGCGGGTAAAATAATTATTATGCTGAAGGTGAGGTGCAACTCATATTTCTTCATTAAATAACTCTTTAAAGAAATTTGAAAACCTTCTGTGGAACATAATTTCACAAACAGCGTGAGTGAATCACCACACGCGCGCTCTCTTTCCGTCTCAAAATGCGCAAATGGCTTCAAATCACATCGCTTCTGCACTATAAGCGAGCTGCACAGTTGACACAGGAATTGTCACTTGCACGGATTAAAACGTTCACACTGCACACGGTTGCGGTGCGGCAGTGGGTTTCAGGAGCGGTGAGTCTGCAGTGCAGAGATCGTTTCCGCACCGAGTCTGTTTTTGCTGCGCTGCAAGTGCTGAATTAAATTAACAGCGCATTGTTTGTGGTAAATATGAAAACGAAAATGTAGTAATTACACCATAAATGCATATAATTAAAGTCTACTGTGTTTCACAGTAATAAGAGGAGAATTCCCCCTATTTTCAAAAATGAAATTCAGGCCCTGAATAAATGTCTAAAAATAAAAATAACCAGCAGTTAAGGTGCTTGCTGTGTTCTCGTGGAGAGGCAGGGGGTGAGCCAGGGAAGTTTCACAAAACAGCCTCAAAATAATATTATTGAACACAAATATAGCAAGCTTTATCATTTTTTTAATCATTTTTTTAATCATTTAGAGAACGTGTATGACTTATAATTTGAAGGCATCCTCTCTCCCTAACTTCCTTCTTTTTTTTTTCAATATTATTTCACAGAAAACAAGACCTGGTTCTTTACTGATATAGGAAGAAAAGTGGTTTCTGTAGTAGTATCTCTACAAATAGTGAACAATGCCCCCAAAAAACGCGTATTATGACGTATATCTTTTCCCTGGCAATAACAGTGGAACTCTTAATAATAATAATAATAATAATTCATTACATTTATATAGCGCTTTTTCTAGGCACTCAAAGCGCTTTACATTGTCAGGGGGGTATCTCATCATCCACCACCAGTGTGCGGCATCCACCTGGATGATGCGACGGCAGCCATATTGCTCAAGAACGCCCACCACACACCAGCTTATTGGTGGAGAGGAGACAGAGTGATGAAGCCAGTCAGCAGATGGTCAGAGGCCAATGGGCAAATTTGATATCTTATAGGTATTGTTAACCAAAACTAGCAACGAGTATTAGCATATGAATAACACCCCACCCCTGGCTGCAAAGACTTTTGTGTTTGCGCTGATCTCCGGTCGGTCACACTTCTTGAGGACAGACTGCAGACTGAAACATTTGCAAGCTTGCACAGTTCTGAGAAGAATCCGCTTCAACATCATACACAAACCAGGTAAGACTGGTTATCTATATTGTGTAAAACTAATATATTCAATGTCAAAATTATATTTATACTATATTTATAGAACTCTTCTTAAATGGACTATTAGTGTGTAGTGAGTATTTTCAGTGGTTACAGGACTGTTGTTTTGCAGGGGATGAGGTCAACAGAGACTAACACAGAAAGAGCATTGTGGAGGACAGAAATCGTGGAGCTCAATGTAAGATGAGGAAGATGTTGTTGATATGGATTCACACAAGAGCTACAGGGCCTCATTTATCAATCTAACGTAGAACCGAGCGCAGATCCGTGTGCACAAAACAACTTACGACAGAGTTCACGTGTGATTCATAAAACATTCCTATGCCGCCAATCTCATCTTACGAATGATCGTATGTTGATAAATGTGGCGGCAGAAAACAATCGTCATTTGAGTATCACGCCCCTAAAAACACCTTGGTTTAGAAGCCTCGCCCCTATAGCTTACGACACGGAGAAACGAACAGTGTTGCCAACTAATTTTCAGGGAAAGTTGCTAAAGGAAGGTCGATTTGTTGCTAAAAGTTGCTAAATGACGTTGTGATGTCATTGCGTGATGACATCATTGTGTAATTATGACGCAAAATTGTGTCACTTACATCAAGTGTCAGCAAAAAAAACATCTTATATATGTTAATTTAGATAAATATAAGGTAATATAATATTAAAATATAACTGTATTTTTAAATACAACATTGAATTATTGAACACTTACACATTTTTGAACAATTACAATTTAAGTTTTTTTATTAGCTAGTATAA